TTGGCTTAGCAGTCTCTTGTATGTCTATGGCATTGTCAGCAATAACAGAAAGTATAAGACGAAAAAGGGCAATAGCGGAAGGGCATGAGGACGACCCACATGCTTTAGTAAACATGTCTGCTATGTGGTTCGTGCCACAGTATGCACTACTCGGAATAGCTGAGGCTACACATGCAGTTGGACAGATTGAGTTCTTCTACACTCTATTACCGAAAAGCATGGCCAGCATTGCGTCAGCTATGTACACTGTTGGGACTGCTGTGTCGAGTTTGATTGGAAGTTTTCTGGTGAGTAGTGAGGATTGGCTTACATCAAGGGGAGGTAAAACGAGCTGGCTTGCTAGCAACATTAATAAGGGTCACCTGGATTACCATTTCTGGATACTTGCTTTTATGAGTTTTCTCAACTTGTTATATTTTCTAGTCATCTGCCGGTTTTATGACACTGGGAATGATGAACTACCTCATGTGGCCAATGAAGAAGAATGTGATTATAGACTCTTACATGAATCTTGATGATATGTTGTACTGCATTCTTGAACTATCCAACTACAACTAATTGAGTTAGACAATAAAGTGTTTTTATATGTTAAAACCTCTACAATCTCATAAAATTTTTTTATGTATCTTTCGACTTTCCTTGGACAAAAATGTGAACATACATTCCGGATAAATATGCCCCTTAACTTAACTTGTATTCAGTTGATAATTTTGAGTGTACACAAGTAGATAGTTAAATTTGTATAAAATTAAAAAAGTAGACACATGCATTTCCACGTAAGATACAAATAGTTAAAGTACCTACTTGTGCACACTAAAGTTTGAGGACATAAATGTCAACTAAGTCCAAGGATATGTTCATGTATTATGTTTTTTTTGAATAATTTGAAGTGAAAACTACTTTTAAATATTTTTTAAATTTAAGTTGAACTATAAATTTTCCAAAATATGATCAACTACTCCCTCTGTTCCAATTTATGTGACACATTTTGCTTTTCGAGAGTCAAACAATTTGAGTTTGACCGAGAATTTGCTCATGAAATCTTCAAAAATTTTAAAATAAAATTTATATATTTGTAATTTGTAAACTACATAAAAAGTACTATAAGTTTCAATAATTGATAATTCAAAATAATTAAAAGACATATGAAAAAATTACGGTCAAAGATAAACTTATTTGAATCTCGAAATTCGAAATGTGTCTCATAAATTGGAACAAAGGAAATATTATTTTTGAAATTTAACTCGAAATAGAAAGTAAAAAATATTCATGACAAAACTGTCTCAATCAAATTAAATAATAATGCCATGAGGGGACCTGCTCACTACCTTTCTCATTCTTATGAGCTGGAATTGTGCTTTCAGTGTCAAATTAAAGATGACAAGGGTAAAATTAGAAAAAAATTATTATGTACCGGGCACAAATATGAGGTGATTGACAATACTTGTACGAGGCTCTATTTATATTGTGTCAAGTGGAAAGTTGGGTTCCATTTCAGAAAATGGCCTAATTCCCTTTTCTCTATCTTCTTTTCAATGATTTTTTCTCTTTCTTACTTTTTTTATTTTCTTTTCTTTTTCTTTTTCAATCATTGTTCGAATTTTTTTACTTCCATACTTTAATAATTTTATTCATGGAAAATATGAAATTCAAAAAAATATTTGCCTGATTCATTCTATTTCTAACATTTTGATATTATTTTTCCATCTCGATATTAATTATTTATATTACTAAAAATAGTTAGATAAAATTATTTGTTAATTTATAAAGATATAATTAATTACATTTTTTCTATTTTATTATAACAATTATTTCTTTTTGAAAGTGTAAATAAAATTTA